TGAATCCCAAAGAAGTACTGTATGATTTGAAATTCAATGTATCTTTTAAATAACTGTGAACTATAAATTTCTTTAAGAGTTAATATTCTAAAGTAATACAAAAGCCTTTTGTGGTACATGAGCACTTTCGTTTGTGGTGCCAATTATCTTAGCCTTGGAATTATTAAATACGTAAAAACACTAAATTTTTAAAGACCAAAAGTTCAAATACTGTTTTTAATTAATTTATAGGAAAGGAAAAAAAATATCTTGGTATTACCATTTGAGTCATTAGAAAAAATTGGCTTTTAACCAAGAAATGTTTTTCTTCCCAATGTAAGTGAACTGACTTCCATTAATTTGTGCTTAAAGGAAGAAGAAGGCATGGCATTGCTGTTGACAGTAACGAAATCGTGACACAATTGAAAACTACTTACGGAATAAGGAGCGTACTTCGACTTGCTTCAAGAATGGCACTCGTGGCATTCATTCGAACTGACAAACAAATTTCTTCTTTATTTTTGTTTTGCCTTTACTTGGAAGTCACTTTTATATTTTTCACACATGTGCGTAACCACAAAATTCAATTTCGGTATAATTTTCCATGTATCTCAAACCCAAGGGCCAGACAATTCGGCTTTAGGTTAAAAGGCACAAATTTAGAAAATGGCACACAAAAATAGGCTTTTTTGTGAGGGAATCAAAAAGCTGTATGCCAAAAATAAAGTGACACTGAACATCAATTGAGGGGGAAAATTGAGCAATTGTGTTAGATCGCATTGATTTCGTTGTATCTGGAAATGTGTTCCGGCAGCAGATACACCAGGCAACACATAATCAAATTGCAACAACAACAACAACTGGATGAGGCGGAGAAGTACACATGCGGCACATATTAAGTGAACACAAAGAAAAATCCGGAAAATACATTGAAATAATACAGAAAATTCTTTAATAAAAATTATTTACAGAAAAATATAGGAAAAATTGATTTGATTTACTTAAAGTGGATGAGCTTTGTTTTCTTAAAATATTTTAGATATTTTTTTCTTTTGTGAATTTAAAAACAATGGCAATAAAATGAACAAAATTGTGTACTGAAATAACTAGATTGGGCCATTTATGGAAAGAAATAAAGTGGTGATGGGTCAAGCCCTTTGTGAAGAGGATGCATGTGACGACAAATTAATGGATTGGAATTTGATAAAAAAATAGTAAAATTAATTTAAAACTTAAGAATTTAATTGAATTCAAAAACATATAATTAAAATTCTTGAAACTTTAAATTAAATTGGTAAGTATCTATGGATCTTTGTTACTAGATGGTGTTTTTTTTTATTTATTTGTGGTGAGGTAGAATGTTTTATGCCCCTTCAAACCGACGGTCGTCGAAATGGTGTGTTAATATGTAGTATGCGGACTAAAACCCCCTCTTTGGCGAGACTTAATCCCCTCTTTGGCGAGGCTTAACCGCTTTTGCATTACTTCGAGGAGGGGTTCTTTTATGTTGGCATTTCAAGTCATGCTCTTACGCTAGATGGTGTTGATACCTATATATTTGGCAACATTAATCCGATAATGTTAACCGTACATGTATTTAAAAGGTAATAACATAACATATATAAATTATATTGTGCCCATTTATTATTTTGCTAATACATTTTTCCTAATTTAATTACAATTTTGAATACATACGAAACTTGACAGGAACTAATCAGGGTAGACGCTAAGTTAGGATGAGAAAATTGTTTAACATATATGAAAAGTAGCAAGATTAAAAATATAGTAAAAGTGCAATATAGTAAAAGTTAGATGGATTTGAATAGCAAAGAAAAGACAAAGACAAAAATTTATTTAATTTATTGAAATTTGGCTGACCATACAACTGTGTTTCGAATATTGCCAAATACTAATCATCAATAGTCAATAATTAATTTATAGTCTTTATATAATTTGTTGGGACTGCAAGTACCAGGCTTAGAACTCGTGCCTGTCAAATTGGAAGCGATGACTAATCGTGCTTATCCACAAGATTTGATTTCGTGGTAACATGATAATTTTTTACCCGAGTCAAATTTTGTTGTTTTAGTATTGAAGTATTTCATAATACATTTACCAAGCCCATTACTCATAACAGTGAATACCACTATCATAATTGCAATATTGGTTTTCTTATTCTTATAAAATTGAACCGGATAGGATAATCTAAATTCTGTTTTCATTGAAGAGGCCTTATATTCTTCTAACTCTTTATTCGGAGACACTTCGTGTCTCATCAACATGCCGTGAAAATTAATGAAATTGAACTTTTGTTTGCTCTCCAGACCCTTATTCCTAATATACCTTATTAGGAGTATCCCTTTTTTGGTTTGCTATAATATACCTTATTTGCTGGAATTAGGTGTCAATATATTCAATTACCAACATTATCGATCCAGTTTATGCATACATGATCCTAGTTATGAAATATCCATATTTTATATTAAATTTAAAATATTGAAAAATTTAAATTAATTTTCTATTAAAAAATAAATAAAATAATAGGTAATTTTTTAAATAGATTCACATGTTAATTTATAAAAATTATTTAATAAATTGTATAAAAAATTTAATATAAAAATATATATGTATGTGTTGCACTGCCTCCTTGGCTACGAGCATTGCGAGAAATTTTTCCACTTTATAAACATCACATCTCCTTAGATTGTTGCTAAGTTCAACATATAAGAGTACTTCATCATCTCATTAGCAAACTTTTAATATAACAGTTATCCTAAAGCCAGTGTTGTGATACGAAGTTTTTTCTGGTACCTAGTTACAAATGTGCATGCTTAAAAGAAAAAGTAGCTAGATATAAATATAGGTAATGTTTAAAAAAAGTGAAAACATCTCGGTAAAGAAAAATTAAAAATGTATCTAAGACAACACAACGGTACAATGTGTAGATACAACAATAAATACTTAATTTATGCAGTTGACGTAATTAGTAAATATAGGTATCTATTTGATTATAGGGTTTTAGTTTTGATTATCCATAGATATTGTATAAAAAATTTGAATATATATATATGTAGGTTCTAGACCTTAAGTTTATTTTAATAGTTAATTTTAAACTAATTTTAATAGTTAATTTTAAACTAATTTTAATAGTTAATTTTAAACTAATTTTAATAGTTATTTTTAAACTAATTTTAATAGTTATTTTTTCAACTAATTTTAACACGCACGCACGAATATACTTCTTTCCTCTACGAGCTGCTCACTCCAACTAACTCCTTTTTACTTCCACTCACACCTCAAAGCAACGGAGTTGCCCTGCGCTCTTTTCTTATGACAGCGACGTAACTCTACTACTTTTAATTACTTTTGCGCCGCTGTCATACCTACTTTCCTACAT